CCGTGGTCGCGCGCCTGCAGTGTCAGCTGGAAGGAGCGCAGCTGCTCATGGTCGAAGGCACGCTGAGCGAACACCACTCCGCTCTGCGCGTTTATGGTCACGTAGGACCACAGCGATTTAGGCTCCAGGTCGCTGGCTATGATGGAATAGGAGACATGACCGTTGGATCCCAAATCCGGGTCGGAGGCACTGACTTGAGCGATGGAGGCTCCAGGCGGATTGTTTTCTGCCACGTGGACTACGTAGGAAGACTTCTGGAAAGCAGGAGCGTTGTCGTTAACGTCAGTGATGTGCAGAGCGATGGTTGTACTGGAAGAAAGGGCTGGGTTGCCTTTGTCCGTGGCTGTGATGGTGACATTGTACTGTGGGTTCTGCTCTCGGTCTAGGGCTCCGTCGGTTACTAACTTGTAGTAGTTACTAGAAGAAGCCTGGAGCTTGAAAGGCAGGTCTTTGCTTAGATCACACTTGACTTCTCCGTTTCCTCCGAAATCCCGATCTCGCGTTTTGAAGATGGCAACCACCACTCCCGGAGGAGAATTCTCCAAGATATGATCAGAAAGGGAGGTGATGATTATTTCTGGACTGTTGTCATTTTCATCTAGGACGTCTATGACGATTTTACACCGTGTAGAGAGACCACCGCCATCCTTTGCTTCCACTTCCATGGTGTATCCCTCTATGTCTTCAAAATCCAACGACTGGTTATTTCTGATCACGCCTGTTTTCTCATCTAGTGAGAACACGTGTCTTGTACTCTGGGCAGTGTTCCGAAAGTAGTAACGTATCTCAGCGTTGACACCCTCATCCTCATCAGTGGCTGTCACTTCCAATATAGACGATCCTGGGGGCAGATTTTCACTAACACTGATCCTATATTCCTCTTTGCTAAACACTGGAGGGTTGTCATTGATGTCCTTTACAGATATTTCTATCAGAGTGGTAGCACTGCGGGGCGTGTCCCCTCCATCCAAGGCAGTCAGTATCAAGCGATGAGAGCTCTGTTCTTCCCTATCTAGGAGTTTCTCCAGAGACAACTCTGGGGTTTTGCCACCATCAGGATTAACTTTAACCATTAACGAGAAATAAGGGTTGGGGCTTATCTGGTAATCTTTAATTGAATTCAAATTTATGTCCGGGTCAGTGGCAGGCTCAAGAGGTATTCGTGTACCAATCGACACAGATTCTAAGATTTCTAAACGCGTTTCTTTCTTCTCGAATTGAGGAGCGTGATCATTAACATCCTCAATCTCCACAACGACATGAAAAATATTTAAAGGGTTTTCTAGCACAGCTTCCAACTGCAGCTCACACCTTCTCCTCCCTTTGCATATCTGCTCGCGGTCTATGCGGTCCTTCACCAGTAAGTCCCCGCTCTCCGAATCCACGCTGAAGTGCAGCTTCTCAGCGCTAACCCGCAGCTTCCTAGCCGACACTTCTAGGACACTGAGCCCCAGATCCTTGGCGAGATTCCCCACCACCGACCCGCGGTCCAGCTCCTCGGGGATGGAGTAGCGGACCGGCTGGCCCAGCGCGGGACAGAACAAAGGCAGCAGCAGGGTAAACAGTACCTGCGGGCGGCCGGGGCGCTGCCTCTGTGCGCTGCTCCTTTCCATTGCTGGCTGGAGTTCTCTGTAGGTCTTCGGATCTTCACAGTAGGAGAGAGTGCAGTCTACCGGGGTGGAGGTCGGTTTGGTCCCGGACAGCGGGACCCCAGTTTGGGGCCGGGAATCGGTGTCTTAGTCTGTGTGAGTGAGAGTTCCCCTTGGTGTGTATTTGTTTCAAGCGCAGGAAATTGCAGCGTAGAGACTGAGGGATCCCGGGCATCAGAGCTTGCTCTGCACTGGCCGACAGCGGCGCCCAGAGGCTCTGAGTGGAGTTGCAGTCTATCTTGTTTAGAAATCTCTTCCCAAAAATGTATGTATAGCAACATGGGGTCATGAAATAGCCACACATTTTAATCTCACGATGGGATTACAGTGGATACTTATGAATTTAACGTTTTAAAGATACTTACACTACACTATGGAACATTATGTATTATGTTGTGAATCTTCACAAACAGATCAGACCAACTAACTTCAACAGTGATAAACATAAGGCCAATCTTTGTTTAGTGTACATTAAGCTTTCTGGCTATTCAGGAGAAAATACAAAACATATAGCGTAGTTTAACACTTTTTTAAAGAAACGAGACAAAAATACCAGTAATTTCATTTTCAGCCTATTTATATTCTAGGATCAACACACACTGACCATTCCACACTCTTCTCCACCACCAATGTACTTACCTATGTTGTGTTTTTAAACTAAAGAACAGTTGGGTGTGAAATCATTTGTCTGCAAGCATGAGAGTAGTCTGGGAGACACAATGAGACCCTGAGGCAAAAAGTCAACCAAACCAAAGGAAACAAATATGTCTTCACTGTGCTTCTGTAAACAATCCTGATAAGAAGAAACAAAGGGGGCTGGAGAGATGGCTCAGCGGTTAAGAGCACTGACTGCTCTTCCAGAGGTCCTGAGTTCAAATCCCAGCAACCACATGGTGGCTCACAACCATCCGTAATGAGATTGGCTACAGTGTACTCATCAATACAATAAATAAATAAATATTTAAAAAAAAAAAAAAGAAACACAGGGAAGACATGCAAGTAGGAGGGGGCTAGTTGGGAAGAGTGGGGAGGGGTGGAGGTAGGAGGTGACAAAGTGAGAGTGAGTGTGATTGAAACACATTACACACACGTGTGGAAATGTCATAATTAATATGTTAATAATCATTGAAAAGAGAAGTGATGTTTTGTGTAGTTATCTACTTACCACATCATAGATACATACATCATGGGTATCTATGTTATTATTCTTTCTCCCAAATCAACATGCATTTTAAACTCATGATTTGAAAATAGATATGACTCTTCAGAAAATTTAAAAAATCCATATGTCATTATTAAAATAATAAGATCCCCAAAGAATTATTTTCTCCTATCAGTTTAAGTAAGAAAGAATAAGTTCTTTTGCTTCTTTTCTAAGGTGCTGCAGATTGAACCAGGAGCTATGCACAACTTCTCTACCCATGAGTTATACCTGTAGTGCTGGAAGAATGCTTGAAGAGACTAAAATGTCTATATATCCAGAATATACCTTAATATCAACATCTAGACATTTTAAACTCCATACTAAGCACACAGTTCTCTACATCCATACAAGCATCATCAGTCATCAATGTATCTATGCAACGTAAGTTTATAATAGGAAAAAAATTTAGACAGGGTCTCTCTACATAGCCCTGGCTTTCCTGGACTCACTTTGTAGAACAGGCTGGCCTCAAACTCTGAGATCTGCCTGCCTCTGCCTCCTGAGTGCTGGGATTAAAGGTGTGCACCACCACACCAGGCTGTAAATAGAAATTTGCAAGTTTCATTTCTTTTCTTTTTTCAGACACAGGTTGAACCTGGCGTCTCACACATGACTTTTCACAGAGCACCTCTCCCATCTCCAGGGTGTATTTTCAAGTGTTCCACATGCCATCTGTTACTTGAACGCTGACATTATGTTTAAAATCTCAGTAATAAATTATTTTTCCTAATAGCTAAAATCCAGGAAAATCTTAGAATTTCTTCCCGCATGTCCCGAGAATAATTTCTAACTTACACCCCATGTTCAGGTTCATTTCCATTCCCAGAGATTGGAGAATTGAGCTGGAGCCAAAATTCTGATTCCCCATATTAGCAACTTCTCTTGAGCAAGCTTACACTTGAAAGAAGAGTGTCAAACTAATTTTCATAGCTTGATACTACAGCATTAGGAAACCCAAGCCTTTAATGCTATCATCATAATGGATATCACAATTTTCACCATTAAAAGAAAACCAGAAAGCTTTGCTGGGGTTTGGGAATGATAGCTGAAGCTCGACTCCTCCTCAGTCTGGGAAAGCAATAGTTCATAGAAACGGAAATATGGAGGCAGAGACTGTGGGTTTCCAGTTGTTCCCCTAAGAAAGGGGAACTTTTTGGTTCAACCCTACAAAAGTATCACTCTAGAAACTGTTCTAGGAGCAAGAGCTACAACGAGGGCATTGAGAATAATGATTGATTCATGTCAGGAAAAGAACTGCAGCTGTAGAGATTGTAGAGAACTACTGTAACCAACCAAGGCATTCTATCTCTATCCGAACAGCCCTCTCCATGCAGGACAATGAGGATTGCCCCGATCCACAGGAGTTTCACAATAAGAAAGTGAAAGTCATCTCAGTGGTGTCTAGCTTACTGTACATTGAGCTTTCTGGCTATTCAATAAACCTTCTAGATGTTGTGGGTGAAGCTTAGACTCAATGAAAACTTGAGTGGTTACAAATATGTAAATATCAGCTTAACAAGACTAAGAGTGAATTGTCATACTTAATAAAGAAAAAACCCCCAGAACTCACAGGAACCAAAGGAGTGTCATCAATTGGAAATTTGGACTCAACTGAACTGCACAGAGGTTCACTTTTCCCACAGCTCTCCTGGCTGATGAGTGTGTCTGCATAGTTGGGCTGGGGGAAGATTAGGTGGCTCTTCCCAGAGTCAGGTGTCAGGGAAAACTCTTCAGAATAGGTTTGTAGGAAAGTCTGAACGCCATGCACACCCACAATATGTGATGTTGGCACCGCAGTGGATCTACCCATTGCATCCTGCAGCAGGTGCGAAGCATGCCAGCGCCGTAGCCTAAGTGCCAGCAGCACCAGTACAAAGAGTAGGAAGACACAGGAGACCACAGCAACTGCCACCACCAGGTAGAGAGTAATGTCAGAATCAGGGTCTGCAGGAGTGTTGATACTGCTCAAGTCAGCCAGGATGTCAGGGATGCTGTCTGCCACAGCCACCGTCAGAGTGATGGTAGCTGAAAGAGGGGGCTGGCCATGGTCCTGTACAGCTACCACAAGGCTTTGCTTGAGTGTATCTCTCTCTAGAAGGGCCCGAGCTGTGCGTACTTCACCTGAGCGTAGCCCCACTGTGAAAAGTCCTGGCTCACTAGCCTTGAGCAGACGGTAAGACAACCAAGCATTCTGTCCAGAGTCTTTGTCCACTGCTACCACCTTGGTCACCAGATACCCAGCCTCTGCTGAGCGGGGAGCCAGCTCCACACCAGTGGAGCCATCAGTTGGGTGGGAGGGATACAGGATCTTGGGAGCATTGTCATTCTGATCCAATAGGAACACAGACAGGGACACATTGCTGCTGAGTGGTGGATGCCCATTGTCACTTGCCTTCACCTGCATTTGCAGGTTTCGAAACTGCTCATAGTCAAAGGATTGTAGAGCATAGAGCACGCCAGTATCAGAATTAATGGAGACGTAGGAGGAGAGTGGTGCCCCCTGGATGGTATTTTCCACCAAGGAATAAGTAACCTTAGCATTCTCATTTTCGTCAGGGTCGTGGGCACTAACTGAGAAGATGGAGGTGCCTCTGGGGTTGTTTTCGGGGAGATAGACTGAGTAGGAGGTTTGAGAGAAAGCAGGCGGATTGTCATTGATGTCAGCCACATACAGGGTGATGTGAACTTCTGTGGACATGGATGGGGTTCCCCTGTCTGTTGCTGTCACTGTGATGTTATACTCAGAAGCCTTTTCTCGATCAAGAATCTGGGCTGTCAACAACCTATAGTAATCGTCTACTGAGTTTTCTAACTTAAAAGATGGGTCCTCCTGGATGGAACAGACAACTTGCCCATTCCTTCCAGAATCTTGGTCATGAGCGTTAAAAAGGACGATTACTGTCCCTGGGGGAGCATCTTCCCTTACTGGGCTAAACAGAGATGTAATGGTCACTTCTGGTCGATTGTCGTTTACATCTTCTACCATAACTACCACTTTGGTCCACCCTTTCAGTCCCCCACCATCTTCAGCCTGTATTTCCATTTCATACAATGAACATTCTTCATAGTCCAGATTTTTCGCTACTGTCATTTCCCCCGTGTTTTCATGAAGATGGAATAATAGTGATTGTTTTTCATTAATTTTCCGGAACTTGTATGTCACCTTCCCATTGGCACCCTCATCCGGGTCGCTAGCTCTCACTGTAAGCAGCAGGGTGCCCGGGGCCACGTTCTCAAGGACTTTCACACGGTAAACAGGTTGGTCAAAAACAGGGGCATTGTCATTGGTATCCAACACTGTGACCTGGATGAGCGCTGTGCTGGAGCGGCGCGGGTCGCCACCATCTGTGGCGGTGAGGACCAGGTGGTGTGAGGGCTCTTCCTCTCGGTCCAGGATGCGCTCCAGCACCAGCTCTGGGTTTATAGTTCCGTCGTCTCCGGTTTGCAGGTGGAGAGAGAAGTGCCGGTTGGGGCTGAGTTGGTAACTCTGGAGGGAGTTTATGCCCACATCTGGGTCAACCGCTTCTGGGAGTCGATACCTTGCTCCAGGGGCAGCGATTTCACTGATCTTTACAATCAAATTTTGGTCCTCAAATTTTGGCGCATTGTCATTGATATCAATCACTTCTACTTCCACCCCATAAAGTTTCACTCTGTCTTCAACTAGGACTTTAAAGCTTAGGAGACAAGGTGCGCTCTGAGCGCACAGTTCCTCCCGATCTATCCTGCCCGCGGTGACCAAACAACCGCTCCGCAGGCTCAGAGAGAAAAGCGGGGTCTTACCTTTGGTGATGATGCGAACTCCGCGCTCCGCCAGCTCGCGGGTCTCCAGCCCCAGGTCCTTAGAGATGTTTCCCACTATATAGCCCTTTTCTGTCTCTTCTGGCACGGAATAGCGGATCTGCCCGGCTCTGGCCTCCCACAGCATCCCCAGCAGCACACACAAGAGGACCAGTCTTCTGCAGTGCGGGCGGCTGGTCGGGGCAGCCATTGTTGCTTTTGCTGCGGAATTTTCTCAGAATGTTCTCTCTGCTCGATGACTCCTTAGGCTCTTCTTTTCTTTCTCCAACTGTCAGATGATACT